TAAGGTTAAGTACTTTCTTGGCCAAAGCAATAACTGGAAGGCATCAGATCTGGACGTGATTGCTTCAACAATGGAATTTGAGCTTGGATACTTTTGGCTTGCAGGGCAGACAGATGATGCTTGCATTTAGAAATTGATTGATGTCACTGAACGTTGTTTACCTGGTTTAGAACTTTTTTTGCATAACTTTGAAGTCCTTGACCTTATTGGTGATGGAAATTCATTGGTTTGGCTTAATCCTTATCAATTATATAGATTCAGAGTCTCACAGGCCCCGATGACAGCAGGTCATTCAATTGGTTGGAACATTGTGCAGAAGAAATAAATATGAGATTTTCATCACATATTGGATATGTAAAATTCTTTTCTTAAGCAGATGAATAGTGAAGCTGACCATTTTTCCAATCCTCCCAAGTCACTTCTTAAAATAATTTGACACCTCTTGCATGGTTTTGACAGCTTGAATATTCATGGATTTTCAAAAACTCTCAGTCAAAAGGGACTCGTGTATTCAGGTACTAAGGGAAGATGGAAATTGCCCCCTCCCCCTTGAAATTAAATTCTGGCTTATAATTATTGTAGATGACCCCAAGGGAGGGACTTGGAGCCACTTTTTGGCATTCTTAGGTCAAGCACCTGACCGTGGCGAATGGTGTCAAAGGTCACGATTTGCATGCCAAAAATATGTTCCTCTCTCTGCTCCCTGAGACGCCGTGGCGTCATTTGTGAAAATTCGCGTTTCGCGAATTCGATTCTTTCCTAGTTCATTCTTCGAAGAAACATTCAATAAGGAAAAACGGTTTTAGAAAAAAAGCCACCCGGAAATAAGACCCCCAGAATTGGCAAAGGGGGAAAAAAGCCACCCGGAAATATGACCCCCAGATTAGGCAAAGGCAGAAAAGTGCCATCCAGTTATGTTCAGGTCAGATTAAAGACTCATTCATTTTTGCGACATTCTCCACCAAGATACTATGGGACATGCCTATAATTATAGATCGCAGTGACCAATCGATAACTCCGAATTATATATATATAGGGCTGGTCAGCTGGTAGGGCAGTAGCCTGCTTTCCACCAAGGCGCACAGATAGTAAAAAGGAATTACCAATGGTGCCAGTCCCATCCAAACCAATCTAGGCGACGGGGGAATAAACCCCGCAATCAGCTCCAAAGCCGCTCATCCCCCTCCCCCAGAGACCGCCAGGTTAAAAAATGTTCACGACGGAACTCAGAAACCTCAGTGCTTCCTGTGTAGGAAAGTTCTCTGTAATCAGAGCATGAAGCCTGCAAAGCTACGAGAGCATCTGGAAAAAATTCACGCTGATAATGTTGAAGATGGATTGGATGTTTTCAAGGAGAAGAAGGCTCGGTTTGATTAATTTGGCAGTTTACCCAAACTTGGATTTTCTCCAACTCAAAAACCTGCTTTGGAAGCATCGTACAAAGTGGCCTACTTGATTTCCAAAAGCAAGAAGCCACACACAATTGGAGAAACCTTGATCAAGCCTTGATCATTACTCAGGAAATGGTTGAGCTGGTGTGTGACAAACAGCATCGGAAGGAAATTGAAAAAATACCGCTGTCAAATAACATTATTCTTTCACGAATTCAATACATATCTTAGGATATTCTTCAACAAGTGATGGGGGAATTGAAAGCCAGCCTTCTTCCATTCGGCATACAGTTGGATGAAACCACTGATGTGGCTCAGTGCAGTCAGCTGCTGGTTTTCGTGCGATATGTGGACAGTGGTTCAATCAAGAAAGAATTCCTTTTCTGCAAACTATTAATACTTGTAGAAACCACAAAGGCAGTGGATGTGTTCAAACTTGTCAAGGAATTTTTTGTGCAAATCATGACTTTGCTGATTGGAGCAAGAAGCTGGGGACGATTTGCACTGATGGAGCGCCGTCAATGCCTGGGAACAAATCAAGATTTGCAAGCCTGGTGAAAGCAGAAGCTCCTCACATTGCTGTCATTCACTGCTTTCTGCATCGACATGCGCTTGCCTAAAAAACGCTGCCCCAAAATTTGAAGGACGTCATGTCCACTGCCGTGCAGGTCGTGAACTTCATACGAGCTCGTGCCACAAATAATCGCCTCTTCAAAATTCTCTGCCTAGAAGTTGGCTCAGAGCGCGATGTCCTCCTGTATCACATGGAAGTACGTTGGCTCTCACGTCAAATTTTCACTCGGCTCATGGAACTTCGGGCGGAGTTTGCCATGTTTCTCCAAGAAAAAGAGAGCAACCTCTGCGGAAAACTTGAGAATCCAGATTTTGTCCTGGGCCTGGCTTATTTGGCGGACATTTTTTCTCATTTGAATGACCTGAATCGTTCGATTCAGGGGCCTGATATGATGATCATGGATGCTGGGGAGAACTTAAAAGCATTTCTGGACAAGTTGCCCCTCTGGTAAAGGCGGTTGGAGAAGGACAATTGCGCAAATTTCTCAAGGGTGGAAGGGCTCCTTCTGGTGTGCGAAGAGGCTGAAGAAATCTTGCCAAATCACATTAGGGGAGAAGTTTTGACTCGTTTGACAATCCTGAAAAATTCATTTCAAAATTATTTTCGATCAGAAGTTGAAGCCTGATGCATGGATTCGTAATCCATTCCTCATTGACCTGGACAGTGTCGATGATGCTGATATGGCAAAAGATGATTTGATTGACTTGCGTGCCAAGGAAATGGTGAAAAACGAGTTCCAGACAAAGAATTTAGCGAAATTCTGGTGTTCTATGATGGAGGGATATCCTGTTCTTGCCAAGCGGACTCTGCAGTCTCTCATTCCGTTCGCCACAACTTACTTGGTTTCGATGGCCAGCAATGTTGAAAACCCTGCTTCACCCGAGTCCCGAAACCGGTTGGATGCAGCAGATAATATGCGTGTTGCCGTATGAAAGACAGCCTCTCGGTTTCACGTCCTGGTTGCTTCGAAGCAGCATTGAGCTCTGCGCCAGTTTTTTATGCGAATTCTTTGCTGCACCGAATTTTTATTTGCTTCCTGGTGAGCCAGAATAAAGTTTTTGAAAATAACTATCCTGAGTACTTATTTTTTCTCGAATTTTTACTGGAGCCTTACGAAAATATATTATATAAATGAGGTGGGGATCCATGGGTCCTTGAGGATCTGGGGGGGTCCGTAGTTGCAAAAAGGTTAAGAACCCCTGCTGTAAAGTGTTTTGACTTGAAAACTCCAGCACAAGAATCAAAATTGAATAAAGAAATACAGGTATTATTGCAGAGATGAGCACCTGGCAGTGGCGTAGGGAAGGGGAGGGGGGGGGTTTAGGGGGTTAGAACCCTTGGGCTTCCTGGTCAGTGACACTGACAGGCATATTTCAACCTTCCTTGGAAATTCCAATTTTAGCTATGCCCCTTCGAGAAAAGTCTGATGTCCGTCCACAGACCCAAGATGCCAGACCATGATTTCTTGGAAAATGTAAATTCCTGCTAGTGGAACTAGGCGTAGGGTTGGGGTGTCTACCTGGCCTCAACCAAAGAGAATTGATTCCTGTTCTGCACATTTAGGACATTCATCAGCACATCAAACCTGAGAAATCTACATAGGAAAAAACAGAAGTTTTCTATAATTCTCTGTGCCTTTCTACTCCGTGTTTCTTCCTAAGAGGAATCTATGTAAGATACACTTGAATCTTGGGCCTATTACGATTTTCAGCTGATGACAGCTCAGTTTATGACACAAACATCACTCCATTGGACTTCTTGTGGATGTACATGCAAGACAGTTTACAAAACAAATATAGCATATTTGGAAAAATTGCAGGCCTGCATAACCGAGGCAATTCCTACAATTACACCAGAGATACTGGTACATACATGGACAGAAATTGATTACCACCAGGACACAGTTTGAGCCAATAATGGTGCCCATGTGGAAGTTATGTAATGACAAGGCTATGTATGAATGAACTTGTGATGTTGAACAAGATGCTACTAACTTTAAATTTATATTTTACATTAATCATGTTTTATTCAAGTATAAAAGTCTATCCATAATTTGTGGACACCTGGTGTGTAGGGATTCCTTAGATATGGGGAATGCATTGGTGAAGGATCAAAATGAGAAACAGGAGTGTAGAAAAGGAATATTGGAAAACCATTTACATATGGGTTTGGATGTGAGCTCAAATGATGGTCAGCCTTATAAAATAACCAGGGATGCAAAATATCTGGTCTCCCATCCCTTTGAAGTTCTACAAGAAAGCTTTTGTGTCCAGAAGGTTTTAACAGTGCCATCCATTGATGCTGCACATATAGATTTTTCTTGTAGTTCTCCAAAGACTCTTTCTTTCAAAGTTCTCTATTTATTCAGATTAGGTATGAAATTGCAGTCAGAGATATGGCTGTTATTGCCTGTGTCAAGTAGGTTCATGAGTACATGTAAGTCTCAGCCTCTACAAAAGTCCCCAAACAGGCACAAAAGATGTTAAGTTAAATTCATTGCTCCTACATTGAAAGGTTCTAAAGGAGGTTTTGTGACATCCATGCCAGGATGTGATGAGGTTTGGGACTTAACTAAGTTTTTCCAGATGAAATTTCAAAAACCAATTCCAAGGAGCTATAACCTTATGAGGAGTGAGTTTCAAAGTTCCTTCAATGAAATCTCACCTGTTCAACTCATCTGCCAATCAAATAAGTTCTCAGATCAAAATCCCTCACTCCATAATTGCTGAGCCACTGAAGTACCAAAACTGCTGTCAGGAGAGTTTGTGTTCAGAAACAATAGGCTAATGATCCACCTACCAAACTTTGGTGTCCAACATCTCCATGATGAAGTTAAATTTCACCAAGCTAAAAGCATCCATGACTCTTGCTCAAACACACTTTCCTATTGAGACAAAGGGTTTGAAGGATATATTTGTTCATGGTCAAAAGGCTCAATAAGATATCAGTCCTGTCTCACCCAACTGAATGAAGAATTACCCCTCCTATGGGTAGTCAAGACATGCAGTACTCACAAAGTAGAGGAAACAGAGAGAACCCATCAAAAAACAAATTTCTTCTAAAGACAATCCTTGACAACACAGCATCAAATACTCCCACTATCATCAGAGAAGTCAAACAGCATAATCATCCTTGATTCGTGCATCATACTTCTGATATGTTTCTCTGTAGGTTTTGTCCTTGTCTGTACTTCCACGTGGTGGAGCACTGGAATAGTCAAAGCCTTGTGATGAGTCTGTCAACTTCCTGTACAGCTCTTCTCTATATTCCATCAGGTCTCTGAAAATGGAAAATCAAACATGTGTATTTCCAAATTGCACATGAGATATGAAAAATACAATATGGTTGGAAAAAAAAACTTCTTTTTTTTCAGCTGAGAGGTACCAGCAATTGTGCCAGTCCGAAGTGTCACTCATTGTATACAGACTAGAGTAATGGAAGGCACTTTTGACAGGTCTGTCCCTGCATGTCTTCATGTGGAAGTCCATAGACTAAGTGGTATGTGAGCATGGCCCATTGCAATGCATTGATGGAGCAGTGGTCAGATGTTGGCTTTTGGGCTCAGATGGTAAAAAAGGCTACTGAGACATGCATAATATTGCACCAAACATATGACAAAAACTGTTTCAAGAAAATAATCATCAACATATGTCTGGTGCAGTGATGTGCATCTCTAAGAAGCAGAATTTCTATGTCACATGCAAAAATCAACAGAAAATCATAGCTGAAAGGCTACTAATGCATCACAATATCCCACAGCAGTAAACACTAACCACTATGTAAACACTGACCACAACAGCCTAATCACAACTAGTTTTCACTAATAATATAAAAGTTTTCCAAGTCAAGGAATTTTAGGAAGTCCATTGCAACAATAAAATTCAAACCTGTTGCTGTGCTGGATGTTGGAATTTGAAGAAAACCAGGTTAGGCACAAGGAAGGCCAATGCAACAGGCATACCATACCAATGGCATAGGTATACCATATCTACGCCAAGGGAATGCCTTCTCAGCAATTTCACAAGGTGCAGCTTCAGGTGCCTGTGCATCTAATGCTCCTATTGCAATTGATCTTATTCAGCAACCATTGATTCATCAGGATTAGTCCTAAGATTATGCAACCACCAACCATTGGGGGTGGGAGGCCAGATCCAATATATGGAAAAATGAAGAGGAAGGTTTAAGGACTCTCCTTAAAAAGTGCAACATATTGATTTTCCACAGCTAATGCTTACATGAGAAATTTAACAGCAAGATGCAAATTTAAATACATTAGTACAACCTGCTCCAAGATTTAAAGGGTTAAATAATTGCTAGTAGAATATTAATAGCAGCTTTTCTATCACAATCAAATGACTGAGTTGGGGATGGACCTTCACTAGTATTGCCTGTCCATTCTTTCAGAGTTGGGACATCAAGCCACTTCCCTCTCATCACTACATCACAACATCATCACCCCTTGAAAATTTAAGGAATCCTGCACACACAATCATCCAACTGTATGTGTCTGGAATTGAGTGATATTGTGATGTTAACAGCTAAGCCATGGTTTTCATGGTATGAGGCTGTCACATTTGACTTTCCTTATGTAGATAGGCATATCTTAATAGTCCAGCATCCAAAAGGCCTGTCTCATCTGATTTTCCTCATGTAACTTTTGACTGTCATGCAGGGCAGTGTTATATTTAGACTTCCATGTCAAACTTGACTCTCATACATTGTTATTTGGATGGTAAACCTATTCTTGCTAGCAAGTTTTCATTCTTATTGATCTGACATTAAAGGTTGTCAATGAGATGAACTGCAATATGATGATGATGATGAACATCATATGCAAATGTATAAATGCACTTGCATGTGGAGCAGTACAAAGTGGAATTACAACAAGAAGCCTGTTGCCTAGAATACGTGCAATACAGGGCTGTTGCATTTGACTTTCCCTGTGTCTAACATGCTTCTCTTTAACTCTTTGAGGACCATGAACATACAGGTATGTTCATACTCCTGAAAGGTTTAAAAAAACTCAGTCCTCAAAGGGTTAAAGTTTAACATCCAGTGCAAGGATGCATTTGATTTTCCTTATGTTGCTTTTAATGCTCTCATGCAGCACAGCCATGCATTTGGATTTCCTTGTGGAATTTGACTTGAAAAACCTATTAAAATACTCCAAAGGAAACTACTGGTGTCAGTCATTAATCGTTACCTCTGAGGTTCCTTTATAATTACCTTTTCTTGTCCCACCCTTCACCCTCTCTTACCCTCAAATCATGTCCCTCCCCAATCCACAAGTGTGACATGAAATATGGGAAACTATAATATTACTCAGAATAGAGAAGATGGAAGATGGAAAGAAATACTCTGTATTTCCTTCCATGGGTCTATGAGGCTTAACTATGCACTCCAGAGAATCAGGGAACACTACTGAATATTTAGAAAAAGAATTCTCAATTAAATCAGAATCAGGGTAACCTCTTAACCAAATGCCAAAGCCATACAGGATATAGCCATGCTAATAGAGCCATCAAAATCTGACCAAGTTACTGATGAAAGCATCAGACAAAAAGTTTTTCCTTTAACAAAGCCCAGAACATAAAAGATTATGCAGTGACCTACCTGTATTGGTTTCCCACTGTTCTTCTCCCTGAGACAGGGTCCACAATATCACCACAGGGAAAGATTACTTCCTTCACTTGGTGAGTAATCTTCTTTGTTTTCCTCTCAGGCAGTTGCTCAATAAGTACAACATCCCCAGGCTTGCACTGATTCTTTGGGTCATAAGCATAGAAGACTTCCTTCTCAGGAATATGCTGAGATGGAAGAAGAAATAATCAGTTAATCAAAGGAACATGACATGCCCATTAAAAAATCAAAGGGATGAGTTTCAAACACCAATGACCACTATTGGCTTGGCTATGACCTTGGCACCAGAATTAAAATTTTTAATCCACAATATAAATATTGGCTCTAAGGTGATGTATAAAACTCCTTCTGAAGGAATTCACTTAGTATGCAAATAATTTCCCTTAATGCTGATACTAGCTATAGTACTTTCCAACTGGTATCACCCCTCTCTTATAATTCATAAATAGCAGTTGGAATGGAATTAAATTCAATCATACAGTAATAATTTAAGGTAGCCCATGCAAATTTCTCAAGTCAGTGTTTCTCCATCAAGTTTAACACCTGATCATCTGACTGCTTTAGGCCTATCTCTGTAACATCTGTGTATGAGCAAGATTATAATTGGAAGTCATTACCTATTTGTTTCAAATTGGAATCAAGTGGGAAAAAGGGTTGAACCCAACCTTGAACAACTCATGACTATTGACAAACTATAACTTTGAATTGAGCCTAATGTACAGCAATTTTAAAGTGAATAGGCCCAGGGGGCACAGAAAAAGCTGAAAACAAAGGAGCCCTTCAGGCATTACTCAAGAAAAGCATCAGACCAACAATTCCAAGAGTAAAGGTTTGACAGCTATCAGAGTGTCAAAGTTTTCTCAGTCTCTTCCCCTTTGGCCTATCAACAGCAGCAGAACTAATGTTTCATGTGCTCTTACATATGATGTGAACTAGTAGATACCCCTGGTAGATGTCCCTTGGTCAAAATACCAGTGCTCTTATGGGAATGTGTGAATTCAAAATAAAAGCACTGTCTTACATTAACACTACCACAATGAAATTCATTCTCGAGAATTATGCATGCATTATTGAACTTTCAGTCAATCAATCCTGAAAATCCATTTGCTTCTTCATTCATTCACTCATTTATTCTGGAAAACACATTTTTAATACAAGGGTGATTATAGGCTCTACAAACAGCCACTGACAATGGATTTTATGCCTGGCCATTTGAAACTTATATCACTGCCACTGTAGCCAGATTACACAAGCACACACCCTCTATGTTTATCATGCCTTTCCCCATAAATATATACCTCTTTTGGTTGTGATCCTACCAAAGTGAACCAATGTAGCTCCATGAATAGGTCCAAAGACTATTACACTCTTTTCAGATTGAATTGATACCCCCCCCTAGGAGCACTTCCATCAAGTATAGGCAAGACACCTTGCAGATGGAAGGTGAAGTATTAATAGAACCGTCAAAAACTGTATGGAGAAGCTGGCTTGACATCTAGAGGATCGTCTGGAAAGCTTGTTTTCTCTGTTCTCCACAATAGGGAGGTATCAATTCAATCCAAAAACAGTGTACAGATATTTTTGAATAGGTTCATGGGGTCACCTCTTTCTTGCTCATGTAGGTATGTACTCTCTATATGCTATGTGCCAAATAAAGCCAGATTGCTCATGCCAGATGCTCATGAGAGACCTCCACAATCTAGTTTCATGGTTCCAAAAAGGAAATTCAAATCCACAAACTTTTTCATGAAACCTTGATTTTCAAGTTTGAGTGATTGACTAGCACTTTGGAAATGCTTTTTTTTCCTTATAAATCGGAGGAATGCTGTGAGAGCTGAATAAGTTGGAGAATGACATGCTACTTTCAAGAAAATAGAGTACAGTAAGTAATTCAAGAGTAAGGAGATGTGAAACTGTTTGGTAGGATCTGCTGGGTGTGAAAGTGTCACTAATGCCAAGTGGATTCAGACAGTAGATTCAGATAAATATGACTATTCAAGTCATTGAGAACCATTGTTCATCAATCTTAAAAATGTTTCCTAGCATTTTGGAATGGACCCAAGAGGTGCAAATAATTGAAAAATATTGATTATTGGTAAGATAATCACAGGTGAACAGTAAGGTAAACGCAGTGTGGGAGAGGAAAATCAGCTCCATTGTGAGAGACGGTATTTCATGTTCTGCCAGCTTTGCACACCTATATCAAGATATAGAATATATGGGGTCCCAGAAAAGATGAGTATCCTGCACAATTGGGAATTCCCTTGTCATTGGTTGTTGCACTGCCTGTAAAATGAGAAAAATCTGCACTCTCCCACTAATAAGCTTTCCTAACAGGCAGAGACTTCTTTAAATTAAGAAAGGTATACCGTAGGCTGGCTCTTGCCATTCCCTTCAATCACTCACTCAAGCAAACTCACCACCATGAAGTAATCATCCAAAACCAATCGAGATACTATCACTCTGGCTGTGTCCCTCACCAAAGAAGGATGACACTGGCCTATCAATAGTGATGAAGCTCTGACAACTTGTCTCAAGGCCATCTGCATAAAATAAATCATGTTAACGAAGAAAAATGTATCAGCAGGAACGATTAACAGTTAAGGGTATATAAAGTCTGACCATTTGCATAGGCTAACGTTAGGTCACAGCAAAGTACAGGCAGATATGTACGATGTATTTCAGGTTTGGCCTTAGCCAATAAAAGTGAAATGTACACAGGGCCATGACTAAGCATATAGCATCAGGGGAACGCAAGGCGGTAGGAAGAACTTCTCTAATGTAGTTCGCTCATGTGACAAACATGTGGAGACGGTAGAACAGGAGGTGGCCATATTCCTAACCATTACCCTGCACACTGACATCTACGTGATCCGATGCAAGACAGTGACTTTCAACAAGAATACCGAGATCGCAGCAATTGTGCATCACATGAGGAGCTGCCTGATCTAGAGCCCCTAGAGAGAGAGAGCCTGGCCAACTCCAGTCCCTATGTTTAACGAATCTAATTGGCTGTCGCCCCTGGGCGCCATTTTCGTTCCAGGAACCCGGCATCAGCTATATGGGAAGGGTCAATCCCTTAGGCTTTTTTGGCTATAATGTCCTGCTGTATGGCTGTTGGATACTCCTACAAGAGTGAGACTAGATATAGTGTTTCGCTTCCGATTAAAGAGGAATCGTACGGCTGCTACGGTGAGAAGACTGAACTGGACACCGACAGCGAATTCATATCTGTGACGTCAGTAGTCTGGTCTTTTCTAATATATGTAATTTATAGAAGCCCACGATATTCGTTCATGAGAGATTAACACCCCAGTGAATTATAACTACTAAAAATAATAGGCAGATGAAGTTCGTTATATAAAAGAACTCCTCTTCACTTCAGAGTACGCTTACATTATATAGACCTATGATGCACGTCTGCAGCTTACCGCTATTTTTTCAACAAGACCTATAGGAGGCCAAGATTCACTAACGCTTTCTCTCATCAAAATTATTTCATAATTTTTCTCGTATTTTCCCATAATCTGGCCCATACTCGTATCTGACAAAAAATTTAATCTTCATTTAATATCACTTCCTCACCAATTAGGTCGAGATCTGGATGAATTTAAGCAGTGAAATAGGCCAAACATGCATAGATGTGATGGATGGGTTGGTAACATCACAAACCCTGCCCAAGTAGGCCCAGGCATAATTTAAGGGCCTAGCCAGAATTAGGCTAGTAAGCTTTGGATGCGTTACTGGTTGGCCTACCATCAACATTTTGGAGCTTATTTTCTAAAAACGACAAACATGCCAACATCGACTTCCCTTCTCTTTTTCCTCGCGTGGATGAAAGGCGCAATGGAGATCAGCTGGCTGATCAGAATGCATATTGGGATAAGCTTTAGTTATCCGCTAGTATGTTGGCATTTTTTGTATATTTGGAACGTCTCAAATGTCAGCCGAGGTGCAAAAGAGGCATATAAGAGCAATGTATTATGATCAAATACACTCCCAAACATCATCGATCATTTGGTACGCATATGAGCACTCAGATCTGGGTCTGTCTTCAGGGAATTGAAGCGATTTATACGAGAAAGAACCTGGAGACTGAATGCGGAGGAATCATAATGGCGCCCAGTGCGAGAGTTGGCCAGGCTCTCTTTAGGGCAGGGGTCGGGAACCTATGGCTCATGAACCAAATTTGGCTCACGAGTTGAAAAGTTTAGCTCATGAGGCATGGCAAAAAAATCATGCTTGTTCATGATTTTTCAAAGCTCTTCCTGGAGGGAAGACGGACCTTGAAGATGAGCCACGAAGTGGGCGACCAGTTTCTGCTTCAACACCAGCAAAAGTCCAGCAAGTCGCCGACCTCCTTCAAGAAGACCGTTCATCCGAAATTCCGAGTCAGACCACTTCCGGATCGTCTCGTAAGCTGGACAGTGTTAGCTCAAAGCCATTGACATCAGTTGATGGATTTCTGTCTGTGTTGTTGAGCAGAACATGGAACTTGATGATGTATCGAATACCATATTTCGAGAGTGATTCTCGCACGACGGAGGCGTTCATAGTGACCGTAGGCAAAATCCGGCAGCGAGTGTAAATGTGGCTAAAGTTATACTAAACTTCGCACAGTGAATACTATTGGATATAACCAGTGCTCACCGAAATTAAATAAATATTCATCGAATGCAACTCATTTTAAAAATCAATGCAGAGAACATTTCGGACAACCCTCGTATTGGTGGTAGAGAACCTTGATCTTCTTGTCTCCCCTTCTTGGACCGTGAGACTGGCACTCTTCTCTTCAGCTCAATCCGCCCGCATCTTTTGTCTTCGGCAGCAAAGTACATTATGGAGTTCCCACTTTAAGGAGCACAGCTGTCACTTCATGTGGTTAGGTGTGAAGCAACAGAATTTTTTTTTCCAGGAATACCTGATAGCACATCAGAGAATTCCAAAGAACATTTCGGGTATGCTAAAAAGCGTCCATTTGCGTTAGATGACGTTCTCTCAGGTGTTTCTGCTGGAAAAATCTTCTGTAGGGTAGCATCTATAAAGGTTGTCGTCAAATGAAATCCAAGAGTTCAGAGAATTTCCCTTAAATTTGCACATTGCCATCAATTGAAGCAAGAATTTAAATTCAACTCCTACCTGGGCCATCAACTTCCATGATTTAGGTGTAAGGAAAAGTATCATTGGATGGTGTCATCAAGAGATATGATTGGCTGGTGGCTAAAGGGAGATCGCATGACCTGGATCAAAAGTCTCGAGAGTCACCGGGGCTCGGTGGTTCTAGCTTCCGAGTGAAACCCGGGAGGTGAGGGATCGCGTCCGTGTGACGGCGGGCTCTTCCTTCGCCGACAGGCGACCCACCTGCTTTCATGGGGAGTATCTGCTTAGCGTGGGATAACACACGCGCCACCCTGTGTGCCACGTCTAGGAGATGCGGGTGCAGTACACCTTAAAAACCACTCGTGCCAGTTCGCCGACAGGCGACCCACCTGCTTTCATGGGGAGTATCTGCCCATGGTGGGATAACACACGCGCCACCCTGTGTGCCACGTCTAGGAGATGCGGGTGCAGTACACCTTAAAAACCACTCGTGCCAGTCATGGGCGTAGGCAACCCATGAGCTGCCCCTAAGGCCTCCTACAGGACCGTAAAGGGGTGTCCCAGCCTAAGGGATCCACGTCTAGGAGATGCGGGTGCAGTACACCTTAAAAACCACTCGTGCCAATCATGGGCGTAGGCAACCCATGAGCTGCCCCTAAGGCCTCCTACAGGACCGTAAAGGGGTGTCCCAGCCTAAGGGATTGTGATACGGATGTGGTGCTCGTGCCAAGCGGGCACCCCCTTCCTCTCTGTGTCATGTAAAATGCGTCAGTTGTCCTGTATATCCGTCACATGTCCTGTCTTTAAAAAAAAAAGAAGAAAAGTCTCGAGAGTCTTGTTGATGCCTCCAGTTCAAGGAACTGAAGATAGAACCTTTTTAAACTTTTAAGTCCCGGGCAGATAGAACTTTGAAGATTTGTTATTACCACTCTTTCTTGGGGGAATTCACGCAAAAGCAACAGACCCATGAATCTACCTTGCGTGTGGATTACTCAGATGTCATCATCTCATTTTTCATGAAAATGTCAGATAGAACCTTATTGAACTGACGTGACGAAATATGTAGAGATGGTCGAACAGGAGATGGCCATATTCCTACCAACTACACTGCACTCCCTGACATCTACGTGATGCGATGCAAAAAGGTGACTTTCAACAAGTATAACGAGATAGTAGCAAATGCTTCTCACTCGAGCTGTCTGACCTACTGTCCTCAACAAAAAGGAACAGTAACGAAAGCGCATTATCAGACTGGAGAAGCTGCCCACAACAGGTAAGAAAGAAAACAATGGAGCAACTGGCTTCTCTGCCTATCTATACAAGACCCGCTCTAAAGAGTTTTTGCACAAACGTCGCAGTAAACTGTTTGCTGGGTGGAAAGCTGCATTTGCATTGTTGATCTTCGCTTTCGCCGACCGTTAAGAATGAAGCAAGCCGGGAATATATCCCTCAGAGGTTATCGATGAAGCAGGGTAAAAAGATCATAACAGGATAAGTACCATAAGTCGCAGTATGACACTTGTATTGCCCAACATCTTGGCTTTTAGGAACTAAAAATTGTTATTGTTACCCGAAAAGCGAATACCCACGCCTTAAGATACCATGCGAGTCAAGGTCGATCTGAGGATCGACTAAAATGCTGGCTATCACCGCTGTATATCATGAGACCACGGAAGAAATCTCTATCAGACCCACGAATGACTATGCTCTTCGATTGAATTCATTCCAGCTCCCTATTTTTAGGCCATAGGACGGAGGTTGGAGTTGGAATTCGATAGAAAAGCACTTATCGGGCTGTATTATTGAACAATAGGATCAGAAATGTGCCGGGCTTCCACGAAATGAGTTTCGGTCGTATCAAACCACAATCGCGATGATACCATCATTGTTCTGCCATAATGAGCCGATTGTACTTTCACAATTCACATTGTCCGACATCCTAGACCGATTGAAGCTCCTCCGTGGCAACACTGTCAAAGGAAAAAGCACGCGGTAGCGATGCACCTTGCATAAGATGTAGTCATTGACACTGGGAAAATGCCTTTTCTTTTCGGTAGAGGTCAAGGGGGAACTTCGCGGATGAATTATCACATAAGGATGAATGCCGAAAACTCCATCATACTCTCATGTGCAATAATGTGCCTGTTGCACCAGGAGACCTCAGGTTCCCCACGCAGGAAGGCGTCTTGCTCTCGGTAGGAAACGGTGGAAGCAATCATGCTAGAGTATACTCAGATTGTTTGTATACCTGTCATTCTGACGTGAATTTTGCACTTTTTGCCTTGGAGAAGTGAGAAAAGAGGACATTTATTTTCCTGTCCCTGTGGATGACTTGATTTGCAAGCTTTTGAGGCGCGTATGTGTCCATTGAGGTAGACGTCCATCTCTGCAATAGCTGGGATATTACTTGCGCTACAAGGTCAGAGGACAAGGGGGAGGTAATTTTCCATCCTTCATCCCCTTTCAATTGGAATTGCCGGATTTCCCTCTCGTTTATCGCTTCGTTTATTTCAGTTTTGCCGAAGCTTGAAATTCTATGCAAAAGAGTATAATATACTCCAGGTAGCACACTTCCGCTGGCCCAATGGTGAGAAGCTATCGACGCGAGCGAGATGGTGACGAGGCGGCAGAATGGCAATGCTAGTCGAGCGTCCACCAGAAATCGACTTCATTGACCAGCATCTTGTCTTTCCAGCATCTGTGCCTGCATTAGTACGACTGCTGACACAAGTGGCAAGTGTGACATTGTGTCAGGCAGACAGTT